ATGTGTCCCACCTGAATGAAGTGTGCAATTCCTTGGCTCCATATAGAGTGTGCGTAGGAATGCTACCCGTTATGAGAATAGTGATTGAGAACGGCAGAGAGTATTGGGATCTCCTGTTCCGATCCTTGGAGGAAACAGGGTTGTTTTATTTTACGTATGTGAGTAAATGTATTTATTGGCGTAAGTGTATAGTGTAATCACCCTCAATTAGGTTATTTATAAAAGAGTAAAGGATGATGGAGGAAGTGAATGGTATGTAAATAAGAAAGAATATATTTAAGAGTGAATGGGTGCTGTTAAGGAACTGAGTTGGGGGCTAAAATGACCTAGCTGTTGATAGCCCCTGGAACCCAAACTAGGTGGCTGGACGGACAAAACGAGGTCCGACCCCGGACTGCCAACGCCCAGGGTGAGTGTTTCTCGAGACTTGCCTGTTCATTGTAAATTACAAAAGGTGGAATGTCGGCGGACTTCTAAAGTGATAGGCTTAACTCTGTATACACGCATGTATGTGTACGAGTATGTCCAGGTTGGAGCATATGTAAATCAGAATCAGTAAATCTTTTAAACTTTTTTAAACAACCGAACATCTAATGCATGTAGATCAATTGCGCGTATATTTCGAAGAAAACAAGTGTGAAATTTAAAACCATGACATCTACTGAATGGCGCTCTATCGACCTCGGGCGATTAAAGTATTTTGTTACAATCTCGGCCCCCATGTTTATCAAAAAGAAAAAAGTCCTTTTGAATATCGATCAGTCCTCAGATCCAATTACAACGTTGGTCTCAAATAATTCTAGCGATAATAAGAATTGGCAGAATGTCCACATTGCCTTGAAATTATGCAATGTTACTTCCCCAGCCAATCTATTATTACCCATTGATTTGGCCAAATCAGATAACATGCGATATAAATGCTTAAAATTGATCTTTTGTACAGAAAAACAGTTAATAACGACACGTGTGGACATTTATCGTGAAATCACATGTCTCACAATTGGTAAAATTATTGTTAGTAAATTTAGCCAACGCCCTTTGAATTATAGCATTAAATAAATTATATTTAATTTATTGTAATAAATTTTGTACATTCTAAATGTATGATTTAAAAACAATTCTCAAATGTCAATATATTGCCTTGGAATTATTGCTCGTCTTAATCCAATTTTACAAGTGAAACACAATCAACTGAGCAAATTAATTAAACTAGTTAACCTTAAACATTGTCTAGTTCTGTAATCAGCAGTGATCAATAGATTTAAAAGATCGATGAAAATGCTTCCCTCCATAAAATAATGTCAATTTTATCCTTTGAAAGATAGTTCTTTAAACAGTAAATATAAGAAGGTTCTAAATTATTAATTATGTAAACAATAAAAACTATACCATAAAAATAGGAGGGAAATGAATGTTCCCATCAGATAAGCCACCAAAACATATGCAATTAATTTGGCGATATATTGTATTTTAGAAACTTATTTTTAAAGACGCAATCATTAAGACGCAAGAAAAAACCTGAATTTACTGAAAAATAGGTCGATTTCTTTGTCTTAATGTTATCTGATAGTCTCATCAAATTGTCAGGTATGTTGAAATTTGTTTTTTCCCGCGAATAATGCACATTCCATTAGAATTTGTTTTTACTGCAACTAGTTCGTCTCGAACAGGAAGAATGAGATTATTTCGCATTGAGAAAGTTGTTAGCTGGTTATGCCCTATTCTTAAGCGCGTTAAGTAAATTTCCTCTTTTGCGGGACTTCACATCTTAGTTTTTTTTAAAGGTTTTATTTATTACAAACACAGATTTGGAAGCTTAATATCGCTAGATAAAAATAAGGTAAACACAATGCAACAATCAATATACCAATATGTATATGTAAAAAAAACACAAATATAAGTGGATATAAAGAAAAGAATGTGTTCAAAAATGGGAACGCAATGTCAAGAGAAATAACACTTTGCGCTTTAAATTTGCGGTTAACGTTTTCCGTTCCCGTCTGTATTGCGATTTTAAATTGTGGCATTTTTTCTCTCTGTTGAGTTGACATTTTATATATTTATGTGTGATTCTCAAGAGCAGCCGCCGATTTATTCCGATTTTTGTGGTCATCATTAGTCACATCCCAAATACACGGGACGGTTTGCCAGTCTTCAATTATTTTTAACATGGTTTCCATGACGGGCAATGACAATAAACTAAGACAAAAGTTACAGAGGATCGAACACCTCTAAATTTGGCCTAGTTCACGCACACCTAGCGACATTTGTTGCGGAACAGATGGTACAATGTTGCGCAACATGTCTATACATGAATTTTTGTCTCAGTTCATTGTTGCTGCCTGTCATGGAAACCATAATAAAAATAATTGAAAATTGGCTCTTGACTTTGTGACGTGTGATCATAAAAATCGGAATAAAATACGAAAGTTTCTCTTCAATCTACCAAAAAACAGATGGCATCTTCGTCTTATTTTAAATTTTATTGCTAATGCACATTACAGTCGTGATCGTACACTAAATAAAAACATATGACTTGAAATTGTAGTAAGGACAAAACGCCCAACGGTGTTCCCATCTTAATGAGATTATTAATAAATTTTAGGAACAATAGCTGTAAATAATTATTTAATAGGAAAATATATCTAATAATGCAGGATTAAATAAATGTCTTCTCATTCGTCTTTGTGTTCTTGGAGTTGGTTAACTTTGCGTTCTGGGCAATTTCAAGCATCAGTTGGTTGGGGTGTGCCGTGATGGACGGGTATTGTCGAAGGTAAATGATCACCGCGTTGACGTTAGGGATGTCCAAGTCTTTGTGGATAGTTTGGTTCTGAACATACCACGGACAATTTGTTACTAACCAGAGGATACGATTCTTAATGATTTGCACAATTTGCGAATCAGATGCCAGTGACCATGTCTCGACCGTATTGTCAGATAGCTGTATGATCGTTATGCAAATGAGCAGCTTCACGTGGAGACGGGTGCTTTTACGGGCGAGGGTATGTTTCAGTGTATTCATTCGATGCTGACTCCGTGTGAGAATGATTTTGATATGTATTTCCCATGAACACCTTTTTGTCAGCAGATGTTACGGGTTCTCCAGCAACAAAATTGCTTCATTTGACACGACCAAGGTGAATTGGATACTTGTGATTTCATTGGGCTCACTTTTACCCTCCATCTTTTACCAATTACTGTAGCACTGAATGGGATTCTTCATTGGTATGTTGTTTTGATAATATGACGATATGGTCAACAAAATCACCTGTTTTTAAAACCGTATTTGTTGGGAAATCACTTGAAAAGAGAAGGTCCCAGTACACTGCCTGGAGGTACTCCCGATTTAATAGCGAAAGACTTTGAATAGGCTATTCCATAGTTCACTAAATACCTTCGATCCGTAAGGTAGGTTTATACAGGGAGTCTTCAAGATATAGCTTAAATTTTATTAATAAACCTGGGTGCCACAATTTGACGAATGCTTTTTCAGTATTTATGAACTGCCCTAGAAACATCTGAATTCAATATTTCTAGGAGATTCCAAGCGACTTAAATTCCACCAGAAAATTTCTTCCCCGTAACGTTTAGGTTTACGCATTTTCTTATATTAACATTAAATTTTGCAAACACTAAATGCGCAAAGTGCGTTTCAATTTCTATAGCCCAAAACTTCTTAGTGTGGACCCGCGACATCCTCAAGAAAATATATCGGAAATGACCCATGACAAAGTCGCGGAACAATGTCGTTAGGTGTTTACTAGGCTTTAGACATGTTGCGCAACAATGAATCAGTGTTATCTGTTTTCGATAGGGAACTTTAGACATGGGACTTGTATTATGATAGTCGCGATACAAGAAAAAAGTCCCGGAACATTCCGTGTCCTTTACCGAGACACATGTTCCGCAACAAATGAGTGGGTTATAAGGCTTTCCTTTATTTCCTTCTCGGCCTATCTAAACCATAATTTTACTTTGAGAAAGGTTAAACTTATTTTGATTACAATTAATTAAGGTTTTTAGTTGAGATAAAAAAGTCAATGGCACGAGCTGTATTCGAACCCACGATCTTCGGCTAAATACGCCGCTTCTCTACCACTTGAGCTATCGTGACCTCGATCCACTCGGACACTAACTTCCCATCTCAACCCCACCTTTTTTATCTCAACTATAAACCTCAATTAATTGTAATGTATTAATTTGTCAAGCCGACCACGAAATTAGTGAACTTATTTTGATTTTTTTTTCATATATTGTACTGATTTCGAACGATGTATGTAAATTTGTACGTAAGACAAGTCTTTTTTTTACGAAATTTTGCGAAAAACATCAAATGTTATAATCGCCTTTGCACTACCAGTGGTTTATTGTAAATTATGGAAATTTATATAAGTTTATAGATTTCTCATTTTTAGACTTTCGAAGACATGATCAATTTTTTTTCTGTTCATTCCCTAACATTTCTTTTATAGTAAAGGGGATTTTGGAGTAATGAGCGCACCTCAGACAAAAGGGATGGTTGGTATAAATTTTTCCGAGGTGCCTATGGGTCATATTTGCGTGCACTATACGTAATCGACATACTACGACCTCACCAGGCCTGGAGGTTTGGAAGGATGTCTTGACTTTGAATATCCCGTATGCTAAAGATTTATGATTTGTGTTTTAAAAATTCTGCATAAAAGGAATAAAAATGATTGAAGGTCAAAGTTGGTGTTTTAATTCCTTTAATGGATTTTTAATCCTCTAATTTATCAATTGTTGGGTGAAGGTGACGTCATTGTGGAAGAATTCCCATCACATTTGCGATAAGGATAGTAGTTTTCAACAATCGGCGCCTGGAACTTAGTAAACAAATAAAACTGTAAATAAACAATAGGCCTATTTTTTCCAACAATTTATGATATAATAGTAATTGAGATTTAAGAGAGAAACTTTAATATTATGGTGATGAAATATTTTGGAATTACGTTAGCAGAGTTGTTCCGCTGACAGCTGATAGCCGCCATTTTTATGTTTAGTTTCTCAATAAGTTAGCTAGAGAAGCAGTCCACCACGTGATTTCTATAACGATAAATGAGACATATTTTTCACTTATATTATTCTCGTAAATAGAATTAATTGTGCAGTTTTTGTTGCGTATAAATCAGAGAAAACGCCGATCATTTTCCGAAACAATGTCCATGTTTTTTAGTTTCGCGTCGCGGGCGGTCAGGAGGTTTTACCAGCCGCCGATGACAAGGACGATGGCGAATCGTTTCGAAGTGATGGACGACCTGCCAGATGATGAGATGGAAACGAATTTCACGGCCATATTCGACAAGGGGGACATCGACGGATGGGAGCTGAGGAAAGCGTTGTGCGACATGCACGGCTTCGACATGATCCCTTCGCCGCCGCTCATCAAGTCCGCCCTGAAGGCCTGCAGACGCTGCAACGACTACGCCCTCGCCGTCAGGTTCCTGGAGGCGATCCGTTACAAATGCGCTGACCGTGTGAACATCTGGCCTTACTTGATTCAGGAAATTCAACCGACCCTCGACGAGCTGGGAATCGACCCGCCTGAGAAACTGGGATACGACAAGCCGGAACTTGCTCTCAAGAGTGTGTACGAGGAAAACTAGTACATGAAATCAAAAACGCCGTTTAAAGTTTATTCTTCTAAAATGTAACGTTGTATTTTTTTATCTTTGAATAAGTAATAATGTTCTCTTTATGTTTGTGTTATTATTATAAAATGTATTTATCCAAGCCTTCAAGCCAAAAGTATATATAATTAAATTCATGCGTGCAAAAATCTTAAGTAAAACATTTCCTACTTGAGTTCTTTTAACAAATAAACAAAATTGTTTTCTCAAACTAGACCAAATTTTAGACCAGAAATTTACTCGTTATTTAAGAACACTTGTAGTAAAAGTATTTTTTGAGGAAAGCGTTTTTTTAAGAGTATTTGGAAAAGTATTTTTTTTGGAAGAGTGAGAGAAGAATTTACTTTTATTATACAAAGATTTTAGGGGTATTCACGATCTTTGTGTTAACCCTGTTAGGTCCTGTTAGATCGAGAAAAATGATGACGTATTATTGTAAGAATCGGCTAGTTAACATTGCCGGTCCCGGGTTCGAATCCAGCGGCCTTGAATTCGAACCCGACATACTTATAAATGGGCTTTTTTTCAAAAACACCACATCAAAAACGTAGAATGACCTCTGCGGTTGCGAACCCTGGTTTTTTGTTTACACGCATTTTTATTTTTAAATACGCATTAAGTAGCCGAGTGGTTAGCATGAGACTCTCACGCCGCGGCCGTGGGTTCGATTCCCACCGTCGCCTCTGGCCCTTTTTTCCCGATAACCCCCAATTTGAACACACAAGAATTCGTACTATGGCTAATATGCAAGATCATAAGGCCAAAGGCCATAAGGCAAAAAAAAAACGCATTAATTCAATCAGACAAATACATTTCTTTTGTTAATTTCTGGCCTGTCCTTATACTCTCATTCATAATAGATACATCCCCTATTCTATAAAGTTGTAGGCTGTAAGAAGTTAGGATACAAGTTAGGCTTGTCGGCACGAAGCGTCATTTGTTATTACTTTTCGTGCACAGATAGCATTTTGAATGAAAGAGTTGTTTAATTTTACTCTTTATTAACTTTTGGCATCTTACAATTTAACACAAAAGAAAACCAAAACAAACAACAAGCCCTCAAGGACCGTTACAGCTTTATTTTTGGTTCTACCAGTCACCACGTGAGCATTTCGGAAAAATTAACATTTAACATGTTAAGAAAAGAAGGGTGTGTTCACGATCTTATGAACATTTCTATATTCGAGTTAACATCTTGCAAACATCGTGAATTTGTATTTTGTCTTTTTCTTATACTTTTAACTTATTGCTTTTAAAACATTGATAACATTGATGGACTATGTTGTTTCTGTTTGGAAGGAGATGAGGTACAGGAGGGATTTAAAAGGCGTAAGGGAGGCGGCTTTGCAGATTGCAAAGAACTATACTTACAGATATTTGTGGCTCGAGATAGGAAGGACACTTCTCGTATTGTAAGATTTATATAGTTGTATTAATAACTAATTTTTTTACTGCTTCGTTTTTTAAACTATATTATGTGAAAATTGGAAAAATGGCAAAAAGGTGGGAAAATTCAAAAGGTGGAGTTTAGATGGGAAGTTGGTGTCCGAGTGGATTGAGGTCACGATAGCTCAAGTGGTAGAGCAGCGGCGTATTTACCTGAAGGTCTTGGGTTCGAATCCCGCTTGTGACACTGACTTTTTTATCTCAACCAAAACCTTAATTAATTGAAAAGAATTATGTGAAATGTAGGTTCTTAAACCGTGTACAGCACGGTCTTTGAGAGTATTATATTTTATTTACATAGTTCATGATCTCTTGACACGAGCCCTCTTCAGTGTTTTTACAATTTGTTAGGTGGACATCCCAACAGTGTGAATGTTAATAAAACCATTAAGTGACGTTTTACCGGATTTCGTCGACGGCCGTATAATAGTTAAAACCTGTTATAAATTTGGCTAGAATATGGTTTAAGCTAAAATTTAAATGTAGCTTTGTGGTTACAAATCAAGGATGCGACACTTGCGATGTTTTTATACGCAATAAATAAAAGGATACTCTAGGAAGATAAAGGGTAAACTTAATCGCAATGGACTTTACGGATGGCATATCGGACTCAAGTCGGAAGCGAAACATGACGTGAAAAAGTCCAGAGCCGGAAGTGGGGGCGATTATCAAAGATTATTGATTAACGATTGGATGCAGGAACGTTAATTAGCGGAATTTGGGCAAAAATAAAACAATTTATATTTGGCCAACTTTGGCGCGAACATGTTTACACTCGCTGTTTTGGTCAGTCAGTTACACGCAACCGATTTCGCCAACTTTTCCGGCGGGTGTCATAAATAAAATAACGATATTAATTTACACATCCCTTTTACTAATGACAGACACAACCAAAAAGTACAGGCAGACCTTGATTATCTACAGGATAATCACCGAGCAGACCTCAAGGAGAAATCTACTACTAAGTACAAGTTTATGACCGACGTTATGGTTATAATTCCAGGTTTAATGAAGCAACGAACCACTCGTACTGATCAAATTGGAAAGTCCTTTTGCTGATTTGTACATTTTGGGAAAGAAACGAAATGTAGGACATAGCTCCTAGTCCAATATTATCGCCGTTTGACCCAAAAGTCACTACAGAGTTTTTGTCAAAGACCGTCTGTGATTAGGTGTGGTTAGGTCTTAATGATATAAATGAAATAAATTAAAAAGAAACGTTTAGACACCTAGCTGATAAAGGTTCTCAAACAATTCAGGAGAACTTGTTTTGAGTTCATCATCTTTTAACCATACTGGGTCTATACCGTCTTCTAAGGCTGGCATAATTTGTTTAATTTATTTACTTCTCTTTTGTTAAATAATTTATCTTTTTGTTGCGAGATTTCTCTGCGTATCGGCGTTATGAACCAATACTTTGATTGTTTCAAATCATTTTGGTTCAACTATCCTCAATGTTTTTGGTCTGTGAGGCCTGTTTCTGAATTTCGCCATCAGTATGAAATATTTTTATCATTTATCAACTTTACCATTTTTCATTTCTTGCTCATTGCTTTTTATCGACTATCACCGCAGTAAAAACGTCTGGACGCTTAACTACTGAAATATAGTTTCAAGTTCATCGGGGTTGATAGCTTTGATAAAATCTCTATAATATAATTTCTGAGGAATTTCTTCAACGTTAACTTAGATGAGCTGAGACGTCTGTTTAGGAAGTCATCTGCTCGCTCGTCGGTTTAAGCTTATAGATAACTTTTCGTAGAAAGGAATTTATTTTCTATTATAAACATTCCTACATAAACAACGCTACGAATTGCGTCACTCGGCAAGAGAAGACTATTGGAAAATGTTCTGTTGTTCAATTTTTAAAACCTTATCATAAAAGGATGTAATTATAGTTCAAGATCTTTTACTTAAAATAGTATTACATTAAAATCTCCAAGGGGCAAAGAAAAAAGGAAATATATAAAAAAATGGTTTATCTACAATTCTTTGGAAAACATGCAGTTGGTTTTCCATTTCATTAAAATATGGCGGATTCTAGTGTAATTATAATATATTTATACTACATTTCTATAGTATGTATAATATGCTATACATATTGGAAACGAAAGCTTTTAAAAAGAATTACTTACAAACATTTTTCTAATTTTTTATAATGACTATTGGATGGTGACGGTAACTATCACTATTGGATACAAAGTAACGAAACCTCTAAATCTGTAATAATTATCGATTATTTGACAAGTTTATCTTAATAATCGCTCGTTTCCCAATGACCTATAACTTCCTCGTCATAAAACCTCCAAATTTGAACAGGTTCTTTCTAGCTCGACCTACATCTATGGAATCAATCCCTATTCCAATCCGCAAAGCGGCCTCCCTTACTTCTTTTAAATCCCTCCTGTACCTTATCTCCTTCCAAACAGAGACAATAGACCAATCATAAGAACGTTTTCCTTCCTTTCCTGAATTTTTATGTTCACATTTTGTGATTATGTTGAAAAAACAGGGAATTCTTCTTTCATGATTAGGTTATATGATTGATTTATTTATCTACATGTTAACGTCAAACCTTCATTAATTCAAGTGCCACAGTTGTAAAAAGTTCTGTGCCTTTTGTTATGCCCTATATCCTAGTTCCAGAATGAGGTTTTCTCTTTCTCTCTCTCTCTCTCTCTCTCTCTCTCTCTCTCTCTCTCTCTCTCTCACTCTTATATATATGAAAAACACTTACAATAGTTCCTTCGTACAGGAAAGGACTGAAGCACATAAAAGAAGACATAAACTATATGTCCATGTAAACAGAACTTCCGCTCTTGTTATGCCACACCAAACCATGCAGTTAAGAATATAATATCTGGCCACAAATCTCCCATCATCTTTAGGCCTATTTCAAATTTACTTTTCTTTTCTACTTATCGATTTACTTAATGAAGCTTAACCTTAATGAAGAAGAGACCAAGTATTGTGTTTGGATCCCGATCCTTACCTTTTGACCCTTCATTTACCAGTAACAATTACCCTATTTCTTTCTGTCCCAAAGTCAAAAACCTTATCCTCCATCCGACCTTATCTTGGAAACCAAATATTTCCCAGATCTCGCGCCGCTGCTTTTCCACCTTCCATCGTCGTCCAACCAATTTCTCCCCATTAGTACCCGTAAACAGTCTCCTCTCTTATTTTCCCATACTTTGATTACGGGGGAGCCACTGAGGAGCTGGATAGTAGACTTGAGCACTTAAAATGAATTGTTTTCTACGCTTTTTCTTAGGCTACCCAAGGAGGTCCCACCTGACTGATATGTACTTTCGTTTCAAGAAGTTATGCACTTCCCACCGCAGGCTGTAGTCCTTCCTTTACTAAACGGTATCTTCTCCCTTAGCTCCCAACATATACACTGATGGACAAAAATCAACAAAAAGAATCGCACCACCCTTAAATTTTAAAATATTTAAGTTTATTCATATTTTGCATACCAACTAAAGGTTTGATTGTAAAAATAAGGAATTAAAAAGCAAATGTTTGTGGGAATTTAAAAAGCAAAAGAAAATTCAAAAACTAATGAAGAGCTTAAAAAAAATGTTGGCCCCATTAATACCAGTATACCTCTGACACGAAC